ATATATATATATATATATGCATATATATATATATATAATCTCTTAATTCTTAATTGTGAATTTTTATACTTTGTTGAAATTTTAAAATCAAATTAAAAACATCTATTTGTTTAGTCACTACAAATTTTTTGGTAATGTGTCACTATTGCTATTTTTTTTTTTCATTACAACAAATTGAGAGTTTAAGGTAAAGGCTTTAAAATAAGCATTTAGTTAGTATTGTTTAAAATTTTTCATTTACTCGTTAAAAACTCATAATTTGAATCATAGATTATTATTTATATTTTTTATCTATTTCAAAAGATGCTCTTGATAATTTTTTTGTTAGACATCTTATAATTTTTTTTTTGGAAATAATGTAAATATAAATAATCTAGAATCCAAAGCTAATAATTTTGAATGAAAAATTATATAAGAATAATAAAGAGTTTAATATTTTAGTTAAAAATAGTGAAAATGAAGATGATTATCATAATAAAATTAAATATTTTAATAATAAAAATTAACATATTCATGTTAGATAACCTGGTTAGTATAGTTTATTAGACATTTACAATCTAATAACATGAAATGATCTTAGAAGTGATTTACAAGATGAATTACTAAAAAATGGTACTAAATGAGGTGTCTATTATTAATGATCCAAATAATATTTTTGATATCTTAATAATTTTTATTATTGGGAAATCAGGTTATCAACCAATTTGGTTTGACAAAAAACTATTTTGCATCGAACCGGTCAAAACCAGTTGAACCAATATAGAATCAGTCAAATTAGTTTGAATTGGTCCAATTAATTTTTTATTTTTTAAATTTAATTTAAAGTATTTTTTATAAAAATCAAATTCAATAAAAAAATTATAAATTAGAATAACTTATTTTTGATACTTGTCACATAAATATAATTTAATAATTTATGTTAATTATAATTTTTAATATTTTTATGCTTTTATAGTTTATATATATTAATTTAATATTTTTTTATTTTAGATGTAAACTTATTATTAGTTAACATTGTTATATTTATTAAAATTCAAACTTAAAAATTATATTATATATTTAAAATTTTATATGTATATTAAATGTTAAGAATCTATAAGTAATATTTTATTTTAATATTTAGTGTTATAAATTTATAACATTATATTTATTTAATATTATCTTTGTATTGATAATAATAATAATTATTTTATTAATACTGATTTGATTATGATTTGTTGAATTATTGAACCTTGAAATAATGTCTAAATCGGTTCATTGACTAGACCCTTTTGAACATATTGATAATTTTACAATAAAAAAATGCAAGTACAATACTTAAATAATTGATGACACTATACTTTTTAGTTCGTTGAAAGTCTTGAAAAACTCAACATCAAGTATGAATGACTATAATAATAATCGTGGTAAAAGTGATAATAGTAGTTATCTTATAAAAGTTGTTTATAATTAAATTTTAATTTATTACATAATTTTATTTATTATAATCCAGTGATTATCATTAAAAAAAAGTTTTCATTTTCTTCAAACATCACTTATATAATATTATTTTAAAAAACAAATTTTAAATAATTGTGTATTAATAATAAAAAATTAATTTAATAGACAAATTTTTATAAAATAAAATAGGTTAAATACCTCTTTTGGTCCCTGATAACATTTTTTTGTTTCAATTTAGTCTCACTTTAATTTTTTGTCTCAATTTGGTCCCCAATAACTTAAATTAGTGCAATTTGGGACTTCCGTCCAAATGATTTAGACGGAGTTAACTGTTGGTCACGTGGCAACCACGTGGATGTCACGTGGATGCGTATGTGGACGCCAAAATTTCTGAAAAAACCTGGAACCAGAACAACCCGTTCTAAAACCAGAACGGCCCGTTCTGGATGTACTTTTGGTGTGTTAATTTTGCAACCGGAACGGGCCGTTCCAAATGCAAATTTCACACACCATCAGTGCATCAGAACAGGCCGTTCTAAAACTATAACAGGTCGTTCTGGATTTAGAACGGACCTGGATTCAGAACGGCCCGTTCCAGAAAGCCAACTCCATGCATCCATTGACCAAAATGCTGCAACGTGATTCAAAAATTAAAAATAAAAATTCGTAACATATCATAAATTCAAAGACAGAAACATGGTTCAGAAACGGAAAACAAAAATTCAGAACATAACATATACTAAAAAAGTTCAAAAAAATTACTGAGAAAGGAAATCATCTGGGTAACGCTGAAGGGAAACCCTAAACCACAAAAATCCAGGTTGTACCTCTTCAAGAACATGTTGTTATTGTTGGGGTACATCGTTAATGACTTCAAGGGAAAACACCGTTTTGTTTCATCTTTAACTGTATAGTATCAATTTGGTAGTAAGTGGTTCACTCTAGTTTGACTAACAATGAAATAAAATCTGCTACCATTGTCTTTAATGATACACTGCATTGTCTTTAATGATAGACTGTATAGCCCAACTGTTTAGCAATTGAAGTTATCAATTTTTATTTACAATATTACCAAATTCAGTGTTTGAAATCCTTTGTACGTTGGGTCTTTTTTCTTTCACGATTCACAACCGTAAACTATAATTAGTGACCATTTGTGTTTGGTATTCTGGAACCAGAACGGCCCGTTCTGGTTCTAGGTTTTTCCTGAAACTTTGGCGTCCATGTACGCATCCGCGTGCCATCCACGTAGATGCCACGTGGCCAAAAATTAACTCCGTCTAAATCATTTGGACGGAAGTCCCAAATTGCACTAATTTAAATTATTGGAGATCAAATTGAGATCAAAAATTAAAGTGGGACTAAATTGAAACAAAAAAATGTTATCAGGGACCAAAAGAGGTATTTAACCAATAAAATATTATATTGATGATGATAATAATAATATATTTTAGTTTTAATTTTATATTGAATATATTTATTTTATAATTTAATTAACGTGATGGTAATATTTATATAGTAGAGCTGATTGAAAAAGTAAATATTATATGCGTAGATCGAACTAAAAGTTGGCGTCAGTAATGCTAAACCTACAACAAGTAACTTCAATTTTGACGAATATTAAATTGATGGACTTTTTCTCTCCTATTTACACAAAGCCATGGTCGAATCAAACTAAGCCTTCTCTTTCTTTCTCTTTTACAGCTTTAGAGAAAGTGAGTCGCACCTATAAAAAAAAACCAAGCGCACACCCAATATCACCATGCAAAGATAGGGTTTTATGTTTTTTTATATCATCTATCTCTTTCTCCTATGACACAAAATATATAACCATATATAAAAAGAATTGCATATGGGTATTATAAGTTATAGTTATTTTGTTCCAAGGTTCCTCCTTGGAGCACTCTTGGTGATGGGGCTTGTTTGTCTTATAGTAGTTGGAAGCATAGAAAGTGGCGTTAGAAAGGGAACTACAGTATCAAAGCATTCAGCAGGGAATGATCTGAAGCAG